TTGCCACACAAAATTGCATTCCTTAAAATGAGGTAAATTTTTTTATTCTTTACAATCTTTGGCCATTTCCGACCATTATTAATAAAATATAATAAATATTTACTAAAAGCTATATTTCGCATGGAATTATCTTTCTATAAACGAGTTATAATTGCGTGCAAAAAGTTTTTGATTCACTTAAAAAGCTCCCGAGATATGAAAGAATTCTAAAAAAAGGAAGAAAAACAATAAGGGATCCAAGCTTTGGTTGGCTCACTTGACTGAACTATATGAACCAGATTATGGTACCCTTTCCAGATACCCATCCATATTTTGGGGGATCAGGAATTCGAAAATGATATTTTAAAAAACAATGTTTATTCAGAGAAAGCGCGTCTTTGGGTCTGATTTCGTAACTTAAAATATCATCTGCGCTAATTAGCGTAATTAAAATTACCCTCTCGAACCATTAAAATTTAGCAGTAGAACGTGAAGATCCGATCATTAAATCAAAAGTTATTCAGAGTGGTGTCTTTTTTCTTTGGATTTAAATTATAAGCTAGTAAATTATCCAAATATCAAAAGTTCTTCGTCAATTTTCGTAAGTCTTCGCCAAAGGCAAATCTTAACAACTCTTTATGATTAATTTTCTCCCACAGAAAACTATTTTAGGTTAGTTTGTTTCAGGCTTCTATTATTTTGACCTAATTCTAATTGATTATACGGCTCATCTAATCAAAAATTACTGTAATCGAATAAAACTTACTGATTTGTTGAAAAAAAATTCATTTTGACGTAATTTACAGAATCGAGTTAAATCTATACCTTCTAGAACAGGGGTCTCCAAACTACGGCCCGAGGGCCACATCCGTCCCGCGGACAGATTTTGTCCGGCCCGCGGAGAGCTAGCATACTTGAAAACTCCTTTTAGAGAACATATTTTTTATAGCAAATTAAATTTAGTTTACTGAAGTGTTCTAATTTTATGTTGAATAATTATTAATATGACATCTACATTGATATGGTCATGGGCTAACTACTCATAACATTGTTGTAGGCTTATTGTTTTTGTGATAAGTTGGATAAAGAAACACGGAGCTGTAATGAGTAAAGACATGTATAATATGCAGAAAATTTAACTTCAGTATATAATGACTAACAAATTATTGAAATGAATCCAACTAACATTTTATACATTTTAAATAAAAACATATCTTATAACAAGCATAATGACATATGAAATACTAATGAGATTTATGTAATTGAGATTTTCCACTGACAATAGTCCGTAGTTGTGGACTAATTTTACTTGTACCAATTATTAAAAGAGATTTAAGATGCTCATCAGTAAATTTAGATCTGTAAATTTTTTTTGTGTACTTCATTTTGGAGAAGGTCTTCTCACACAACTAAGTAGTACCAAAAACAGAAAACAGCCCACGAGCAAATTTATGCAAATTATCAAATTGTGTCAGTGGAAGACTCTTATAAAATTCCAACAAAGATGAGTTTTGATATTTGTTCCTAATTATATCACTGCACTGTAGATCAATCATTTCCATTTGAAGTTCCGGGGCTAGGGTTTCAATGTCAGTATCAAAAGGATTCTGAAAAATCTTAATTTGATTCGCAATGGCATCAAAGTCCGAGAAACGAGTATCAAAATTTATTTTCAAAGCACTCAAAGTTTCGATTGCAAAATCGATAGGAAACTCAGTCTCAGTGGTGTGGCTGAATATTTCACATGTTTTAAAATGTGAAAAACATTTACTTCGTGGTTGTGATTGAAACAGTATCAATTTCTTCTGGAATGATTTGATATTAGTGTATAAATCAGGAAGATGCTGGTTTTCTCCTTGCAATCTCAAATTCAGTTCGTTCACATGTTTTGTCAAATCAACATAGAATGCTAACTTCCACAGCCATATGCGCTGTTTTGTAATTCAGTAAGAGGGTGATGCTTTTCATTCAAAAAAATTTCGATCACTGCTCGAAGTTCAAAAAAGCGCTGAAGGACTTTCCCACAACTAAGCCAACGTACGGCAGTTTGATAAGGTAAGTCATTTTCTCCAATCTCTGCAATAAATTGTCGGTGATTCAGCCCAAAAGATCTGATAGAATTAACAGTTGATATGACTGGTTTCAGAACTTCAGACATATCCAAACATTTTCCGCACAAAGACTGTTAATGAATGATACAATGTAAGACTAATGGTTTTGAACCGTAATTTTCTACAGCCTTTGACACAAGAGCGACCACTCCTTTATCTTTCCCACTCATGTTTTTGCCTCCATCAGTTGTAATACATTTCAAGTTTTTCCATCGAAGGTTCTTTTGATTAATGGCCATTTCAACTCCTTTAAAAATATCTGTACCAGTAGTTGTGCCATGAATACTATACATATCAAGAAGTTCATGCACTTCATAGCTTTTATCTACTCCTCGAATATAAATCAACACCTGAGCAGTATCTGACTCATCCAAGGCCAAAGAAAACCACTCAACATGTCCATTTTTGTCGAACAGTTGAGAGGATATATTTTCTACACTTCGAGCCACAGTGTTTGCTGACATATTGACAGTTTTTAATAAATTTACCATTTCAGGGCACATTTCTTCGGTTACTTCAATTATGCATTTTTTGATCATTTCTCCATCGGTGAATGGTTTTCCACGTTTTGCAATTTCAAGAGCCACACGAAAGCTGGCACGAGTTGCAGCCTCTTATTCAGTTTTGAGTTTTGTAAATGAAGATTGCTGCGATTTCAATCCGCGCTTCGAAGCTTCGAATTTTTCTGTCCGCAAACTTCCTGCATATTTTGAGTAATTTTGAAAATGCTTTGCTTCATAATGACGTTTAATGTTATATTCTTTGAGAACGGCTATGCTTTCATTGCAAATCAAACATAGCGCCTTGTTACTGGACTCAATTACGAAATACTGAATGTTCCACTGATCCTTGAATTTTCTGCATTCACTATCAATTTTTCGCTTCTTTTCCATACTACTAAATCACACACAAAAGCAACAATTCAAATCAAAATACTGTTACAAAGATGTCTTAAACTTAAACACGCACAAACACGTTTTAAGGAGGTACGCACTATTTTATTTCACAACAGTGTCATAGGAACTGACTTGTGGTTGCGCCACTAGCCTTCTTATATATTCCAATTACTGCCATCTAGAAGTGAGTGGAAGACACCAGAACTTTCTCGAACCAACGAGATTATTCTGTACGTGCTATTAGCGCCATCTGTTAGCGATAGAAGGTTCTACCTATTTCCGCTTGTGTCCACCAGATGTCGTGTCACGTTACTCCTCATGGCTCGTACTCTACGACTAATCTAGAAATTACAGATAATGACAGCAAAATTAATAATATGCAGTGTTGCCCTTTTGTGGACTTTAGTCCGATTTGCAGCCTTTTTTAAACGTTGCGTACTTTTTCGGACTTTTTTTTTCATCAGTGGACTATTTCACTTTTTACCACCGGCGACCATGATAATACGGTTTTGGCCCTCGGAACTTACTGGAGTAATCAGTATGACCCTAAGGCTGGAAAGTTTGGAGACCCCTGTCCTAGAAGATAGAAAACCGCAACACGGGTTACCATAAATGAGAAATGTTTCCTTTTAGTAGTTCAAACGTAATGACATCTTTCTTATTTTTTCCACTGCGCAGTTTATATTCGTTACATTGGACTACTAAATTATTCCGTGCTGAGGCCTTCTCTTTTCTAGAAGGTGTTTGTTAAATATATATTTGTTTTCTTTCCTGTGGAAAAAAAACATTCTGCAACTTTAACCAAAACACAATTTTATTCTCCAAGTTTACGATTTTATCGCATTTGGCGAGGTAGCGAATGCATAGCGCGGTCCCTGACTTCATTTTTGAAGAAAAAAAAATATTGAACTGTATATTAAATTTAATCATTACAGGATACTTAGCATAAACTACAATATATTTATATTTTAATTGTTACAATTCCAAAATTCTTAATCAAACCATAACAAATATGGTACACATCGTTTGAGGAGATCAGCAAGGCCAACCGAAAATTACATCTAACCACCCGTTCACCTACAGATCTAATAGTTAAATAAGTTTTCCTTAAGATGAATACATTAGAGCCTCGATAGTTCGAGTCTCGAATGTTTGAGTTTCCCATTAATCTGAGCTAGTCAAAATCTGATCAGTCTTGCTTTTAAACAATGACCAACACACACAGAACGCGTGGAACGATTACTTCGATTGGTTTTATGACTCAATATTGAAATACAAATTTGTGTATTAAGCACTGAATTACATGAACAGTGTGTTTAACGCTAGATTGCCTAAGGAAGTCATTTTGACTGCTTTTAATTTCAATTAGAGAAACAATGATGTATATAATGACACAATTTCTTAGAATTTTGTACAACATATAATTTTTTTGCTGTTTATTAATACCTTGTTATATAACTGTAAATAATATAAAAAAATTTTACAAATTAATTTTTGTTGTTGTTGTTCATTTACGTCGCACTAGAGCTGCACAATGGGCTATTGGCGACGGTCTGGGAAACATCCCGCTGGATGATCCGAAGACATGCCATCACAATTTTTATCCTCTGCAGAGGGGATGACACCCCCGCTTAGGTAGCCCGACGACCTGCACGTGAAGTCGAGCACTTTACGGTAGCACAGTTTAACGAGGACCAATACCGCACACCCTCTGTCCCTACGCAGACTGATCCAAGTGGACACCCACCCGCACACTGACCGCAGCCAGTGATGCTTGACTTCGGTGATCTGATGGGAACCGTGTCTTAACGATCAGTCCACTGCGGGACAAAAATTAATTTTAAACAAATTTCTTTACACATTATTTATTCTTTTACAATCCAGTCATTTTTACTGCTTTTGGGCAATATAGGTATATATACTAAGTTTCAGTCTTTCATTCAAGATTTAGTAATTATTACCACACATTTAGCAAAAATACAAAACAAAAAAGTAAATTTTACCGAATAAATGGTATTTATGCCTCTCTCTAATGTATCACGACGAGATTACCAATACGTTCTTCAGAACTGTAATTCATTTCACGATGTGTTTGATAATTTAATTTGTCTCTATGCCTTTTACCAAATAAAGTAGTAATAGACTTTACAATGGTTTATTAAAAATAGTACTATACATAAATTGCTCATAAGAGTAAGGTGGTGGTTGGTTGTTTATTATTCGAGATTATTATTACATTATTAGTATTAATATATTACTTATTAATAGAGAGAAAGTGTGCATCACTGACACTTTCAAGTGCTTTAATTCATGTTATTTATTTTAAACTCTAATAAATGAAACTATACTGACTGTTTTATGCATCTTTTATGGAGGAAGTGGGATTTATATACATACATAGGCATGTTTTTTTTGTAAATACAAAGAGATGATTAAGAACTCTATTCAATCTGAAAAGCAGATAGCACAAGTTTGTGAAACGAAGCAAGAATATACATTCAGTGTGATAGCGGTATTCGATCTCTCTGCATTCATGCTCCAAAGCGGTTAGGAGAACAGAAGCACCGCATGAGTAGGAAAGCTCCTTGAATTTATTGTTAGTAAAACAGCCATACATTATTGGGGCTTTGATGGTGAGGGGGATCGTTCTTCCACTAAACATTCGGAAGCATAAATGTAGAGTGTTTAATATCTTTGTGTTTTTTCTCTAATTTTTGTGTTGTCTGTTTTTCAATGTAATAAGGTACGAGTCCATTTTTTTGTGCATAAAACACACGAGCCCGTATATGTATTGAAACCAAATTTAGTTCATTATTGTCATGCGTCCAGGTATTCGATCTCGCTACCTTCATTTTACATAGACGTTTATGCTCGGTCACAGACAACCCTATAAAACAAATATTCAAAAAAATGAAGATAAATAAATCACAATTCTATGTATTTATTATTTATTTATTGCTACAATATATATGCAGACTTAAGAGCTCATTACAAAGTGCTATTTAGTATAAGCTCTTGTCAAGTTAATCCGATCAATTAGAGAAGGACATTACAACGGGGCAATTATCGTAACTGCTACGGATCTCAGCGTATCTCTTGATATACTGCATTTTGATGCACTTCTCCATCTTGTGCTATTTATTCTTTGACAGCCTGCATATGTATATGTAACAATAAATAAATAAATATAAATAACGAAAATAAATAATCATATATAAATAAATAAATGCATATATACACACATTACACATAAATATACAGTTTCAACCATTTAATGATGATGATGATAACCAGCATCCATTTAATGATGTTGGGACAGCAAGGTACGTAACATTTAACCTACAGATTTAGTTCAGTTTACTCATTTAATACACTTGTATAATTATAAAGGGGTAATTTTAATAGTTCTAAAAGTTTGTAAATTAAGCATCTAGATTTCATAGAAAAACAATTAACTGGCCCCAAAAAAAGTTAGCTTCAGTTTACTAAATGAAATAAGGGTTATCAAGCCCAACATGTTCGCCTTTTCTAAAATAATACAAAAACTGATTAATTTTACCTCATTTACAAATTTTACCTCACTACCTAATTTTACCTCACTAGCTGCCAAACAGCGAGATAATCAAACCATATTTTAATTGTAATTTTACTAAAATGTATTGCCAAAGCTTTTTTTTTTAATGCCCACCTGGAGAATGACTTACGTCATAAAGGCACCTGAAGGGCAGATTTGTTGGTCACTCTTTCAGGAGCACTATATTAGGTGGGCCAGCGTTGCTCCCACAGTTACGACAGATAGTACAGAGAATGAAGGAACATCCATGCCTTGACCGGGATTCGAACTCAGAACCTTTCTGATACAGGGGCAGTTCCCTAACCGCTACACAGGCCGGTCGGCTGTGTAGGGGTGTACTGCCAAAGCACTACTTCAAAAATTACCGTATTTTTTGGAGTTCCCTTAGAAGCAGAATATTTTTTCTATATTTCATTTATACGAGGTCACTGTTAACAGATCCACCAATTGGCCTGTGGAAAATTCATTTATATCATCATATGATTTGTTATAGTGTATATGTAATAAGATAAAGAGTAAATTGTAAACAATTACGAATGAAATTATGGTAAAAAGAATTGGTTTCCTGAGTGCACCATTCGTAAAATTCATTTTACAGTAAAATACGTTTTAGCCCTAAATTGGACTTAACAGTGAAATGGATATTACCGTAAAATTGGTAAAAATGGATTCTAAAAAATTACAATAAGGCATTTATTAGAAAAATCCGCATGTTTAATAAAAAAACTAATTGTAGGAAATTTTAAATTAAATTGTCGCGAAACCCGAATATAGGTATTAATTTCGGTACTCTAAAGAAGCAGAATAATAAGGCATTTATTAGGAAACACCAAATGTTTAAAAAAAACTAATTGTAGGAAATTTTAAATTAAGTTGTCGAGAAACGTGAATAAAGGTATTAATTTCAGGTGCTCTAAGGAAGTACCTTCATCCATGACAAAAGCTACTTTTGTATATTGTGCCGAAACAATCGTCTGTGTTATGAACTTCTTTGTTGATATGTAAAATTTCATTGATCTTTTATTGCTTTCAATTGGAAAAGACAATGACATCAAACATAAATGTTGAATTTGACAAGGAAATTGGGCGAATCTGATACTAAGAAGAGACAAAAATTGCACCTACTCCAGGGTTTATTACGTTAAAAATACGTTACATATTAGTGTTATTAGAGTTTTGTACGCCATTTTTTAATTCCTACTATTAGTTCACACTCTCCATGTATCTTGTTCAAATTTTCAATTGCTAATAAAATACTTTTTATACATCCAGCTACTCAGTTTCTTACATACTTCAAAGCTAACATCAGTAATATTTTCTGACTTTTAGCTGTATTTGAACAAAATAATAGTTTATTGCTCACATTTAAATACACCACGTGAATTTTTTTTTTCAATTCCTACATTAGTTCACACTCTCCCTATATATATTTATGTATCGTGTTTAAATTTCCAATCGTTAATAAAGTACTTTTTATTCATCCACTCAAGTACAAATTTGTACCCATTGTACCCACAAGTACATTTTTTACCCATTTGAAAAATGGGTCTTGGTTTGGATTTCATGGCGTCCTCACTTTTCAACTACAATAATCAAGAGTAATAGTAAACAGTGCGCATGCGTTGCTATGGCGACCGCTGCTGCTTGATAATTTTTTTAGAATTCTTTTTTTTTCACTTTTAATTTTGTTATGCATTAAGTTGGTGTGTTTATTTTTGAGATATGGGACCAGAGAGATCCCATAAATACTTATTGAGTTGTGAATAAAAGATAAGTACATCGTTTGAACGATATTTTGTTTTGATTGTTTTAATTGGGTATACTATAGCCTACGTCACAGGTTGTGTTATTCCTACTAAATTTAACCCATGAACGGCATTTTCTGCGAGCCTAACTTCAAGTCACAAATAAACAAACGAAATGTTTGATCGTTTAAATAGTTGCTCTCCAGATTTTATTGCATTATAAAGAAAAGTAATTGATATTCGATTTTTGATTAATAATTGATTTATGTGCATAGTGGCATTTATGTGGATAGTGGCATAGAATTTAGCATTGCGTCATGGTAAATGTTATTCCTACTAAGTGGAAGTAGTTGTGTTTTTTTTATATTATACCCAATTAAGAATCAGAAATTCTAACCTACAGTTCAAACTGGATCGTTTTCATTACTTATCCAGGTGAATAAATATCACAAGTAAAGAGGATCCAAACTGATTGACACGGTCCCAAAAATTAGAGCTAAAGCAAGGAAAAAACGATGCCAAGGCCGAAACTTACCGAGGCTGAAAAAGCCAAAGAGAGTAGTCGGGAATACCTTAAGTGTCACACATAAACGGAAAAAAGAATGGATTCGGTTCGCAAAAGCAAGCATGTAGCCCTTCCCTCACAAAAATATCAAAGTGGTTGAGAGAATTGAATATTACCGAAGAGTAAATGGTGACTCTCTAAACCCCTTTCATGCAAATAGGAGAACTGGGTGTTGATCACCAGTTAGGGATAAAAGGATCTATTGTCAACGTACCCAATAACTTGCTTTAGACCTTAGACTGTCTTCCACGCAATATAAATTATTCATTCAATATTCATGTAAAATTGAAAAAAAACCTGCTTTCAAATAATATTTCATGCATGAACTTGTGAATCTGAAACGGGTGTATGATGCAGATTACAATATCCATCAAACATCACTGTACCAATCCGAAAATGTAAATATTGATCTCTATAAGTTGTTAAATGGCTATAAGAAATTTACGCAGAATGTGTCTGAGGTGCATTTAAATATATCTCCGAAATTGTGTACCGAGCAGTTCACGATTAACAGTTAAATATGTCCAAGATGAAAACACGATAAAGTTTCTTTTCCAAAAAGAAATTAGACAAGGGAGAAAAAATTGTAATTATTCAATAAAAAGTAACTTAAATAAAATTTTCTTTGTTTACCTAGGTAAGAATTGAATTAAATTTTTTTTCTTATATTACTTGTTAAATAAGTAAATTTAAATGACTAAAAATATGCGTTAATAAAAAATAAATTATTATTACAAAGAAATGCACGAATTTCAATTCGTATTGAAAATGCATTGGCCTAACTTTTTATAAACTAGTTTATTAATTGCATTCAAAAGTCTTTGAATTTTTTTAAACATAGTTCCAAAGATATGATTCAAAAGTCAAAATGTTAAACACGGAATTCCAAGTTTACAACTGTTCTCCTAACCAAACTATTTTATTTAAATTTATAACCATCGTTGAACAGCCGACCCAATTTTTAGGTTTACGACTAACTATGTTCAACTCCGTAGCCTTGTAATTTTGAACCCGAACTCCTGCATTAAGTATCTGGAAAAATTTTACTTAACATTAATTTGAGTTACATAGAGAGCGAGACCATGAGAACCTTCCACATTAAGCCTGACTACAAGGGGACTCTAACCCATGATTCGTCTGCCACTGGGGATATTTCACGTTAGCTCTGTGGTCGGTGCAAGTCGGATGCGGAATTCGTACCGACCCAGGTATGTATCTCTGGAACCAGGTCTGGATCTCTGGAAGGCGAACGGTCTATCCCGTGAGCCATCGCTGCTCTAAACCAAGCTATTGTGGCCATATTTCCCAAATTGCGCAGATTGTATAATAGACAAAATAGTGTATATATCTATATATATATTTCTCTTACACGGCACCAAAAAAAGCCTCATTACAACTCCCCGAATGGCAACGTTAAAAAATCGACCAATGATTGCTGCTAAAAATGTCACATGCCAAATCTAGCTTAGAGGGCTTAACATATAGCGCTTTTAAAAACGGAAACAATAACCAGAGTGAGCATTATCAGGTTGTTTAATTCAGATTCATGCCCCAAAAACATGATACTATTTAATTTAAACTGGCTCAACATATAGCGCTTTTAAAAACGGAAACAATAACCAGAGTTAGTATTATCAAGTTGTTCAATTCAGATTCATGCCCTAAAAACATGATAATATTTAATTTAAATTCAATTGGGTATACTATGACCTACGTCACAGATCGTGTTATTCCTACTAAGGCTCCTATAATTACTACTAAATTTAACTAGTAAACAGCATTTTCTGCGAACCTGATTTCTAGCAACAAGTAAACATTAAATGAAGTGTGTTGTTAAAGTCGCTACTCGGCAGGTTGGAATTGTATTAGTCTAGTTCCTTTTGAAATAATATATTTTGCTGTTTTATCTCAGTTTATGAATTTAGTAAACATATTTAAAACTCATCTTATTAATTAAACTAAAAGGTAAATGTTATTCCTAGTAAGTGGAAGTAGTTGTGTTTTTTACATATTATACCCAATTAGGAATTAATTAATTAATTGAAGTGAGAATGCTTTAAAAGGCCGCTGTTGAATTGATATTTTTCTACTGAGAGCTACCTAAACGTCTAAAAAACGTCTAAGTGTTTGTATTGAATGCATTGAATTTTTTTATATTTCGCGGAAAGTGCTGAAGAATGTTATGGAAGACGTAGATTGCAGAGATCAAGTGCAATAATAACTGTTCAAGATGTAACAGTAGATGTCGAAGAATATAATATTGGCTCAATGACGGCCCGGAACAATGTAGTTATTGTAATGCTTACTTCTGGGCCAAAGAAAGAAATTCTTCTGGCAAATATACGAAATGCTGCCACGATGGAAAAATTAATTTGCCTACACTAATGGACAATCCCGAGTTGCTGAAAAAATTATTAAGTGATAATTCGATTGAGGCTCGAAATTATTGAAATCATATCCGGGAATATAATTCTGCTTTTGCTTTTGCATCATTTGGAGCACGCATAAAGCCACCTCCTGGAAATGGACCGTATTGTTTTCGAATTCATGGTCAAATTTATTATATGGTGTCACCTTTGTATAGCAATGATCAAAATAATGCTGGATACGGGCAGCTGCATATTTTTGATTCAACTGAAGCTACCCACAGGTGCATTGAAAACAATACTGGATGTTTACGCTCTGTAATGGAACAATTAGATGTTCTATTGAGGCAAATTAACCCTTTTGCTGCATCATATCTTCAGATGCATCAGTTTATTCAATTAAACCCTGCAGCAGATGTAAAATTAGTTTTTATGGAAGATCCCTCTTCAGATTTGATGTTTTAAAATGTTATGTACTTTATCACAAATGTTAATTAATATAGAAATTGATTTCAATAACGCTGATCACCAAAAATTATTTCATTTGGCGATAAAACAAATTTTTGTGTTCTTGAAAATGAAAAACTTTTTGAGGGATATTATCTCACAAGGAAAAGTTAGGGTTTAAGGTTTATATTTTTAAATAATAAAATTTTTCTCTAAAACTTTCAGAATTTCTAGCATTAGCTAATTTATTATACACATTTAGTTGAATTTAGGTGAGCAACTGCAATATTTGATAATTTATTTTGCTAATATGTTTCTCATTTAGCTAATGTTTTGATTTTTTCACCATGTACAATCTAAATAGCAAATATACTTTTTTAAAGACCAATAAGAACATTGATAGAATTCTTCTGCATAAGTACAATACTATGTCTTTGATGATAAAATACTATGTCTTTGATGATAATATACTATATCTTTGTATATTATCATCAAAGAACATTGTGTTCACTGGCGAGCGAGCGCAGCGAGCCATGGTTCACGGCGCGAACCACATAGGATTGCGTAGCAATTCTCGGGGGTTGNATATAGTGATAGTGTGTAAAATGATTAGTATTTTAAATTTGTAACAACTAACATTTACCGTAAACAGTGATATTATGATTAAAAGATATTTATACATGTCTTAACCCATTTATAAATTTGATCACATATAATAAAAATATGTATTAAGGTATATGTATTAAAACAGTTTTTGTCAGTTAAAAATATTTAACCAGTAGAAATATGAATTTACATTTTTCAGCTATAACTTACCTGATGTTCAGTTTTTTGCTGAAGATTGGCTTAGCGTTAATTTTGTGAAAATGACTGTCGCCGATTCCATATTGTTTTTCATCCATGGTATCCATTGTGGAGAAGATAAAACTGTTGTTGATTTCGCAATTATATATTCAATGGAAGTTGATTTTAAAAATTCATGATTTACTGCATCTGCCAGAGACAATATTTCACATACGTTCTCCTCTGACATTTCCTTCTTCAAAAACATGGCACATTTTTCTTTCAAGGGCAATACTTGATATTACTTGATACAAGGGTAATACCTCATCTACACTATCGGTGTATAAGAATTTCAAAAATGATTTCATGACGTAGGCATCAATATCAACGATGTCGACAATGCCACTGCGAGCTTCTTCCATCTCTTGGTGATCAAACATAACTGCAAATACTGGGGATCGAGCCACTAGAACAGTTTTATGTGCTTCAATAATTTCACCATCCACTCGCAATTTCACATCGCTGAGATGTTTGTTATGGAATAAATTTCGAAGGTCTTCCTGCAAGGAAGAGTAAGCACTTGTTGGTGATGATGAGTCAGATTTAGGCATATAAATTTGAAAATATGTACCATTCGAAACGGAAAATTCACAGTAAATAAGTAAACGATGGGAGGGATCACGTTTGAAAACTTTTAGATAACTTTTCCATTCCTTAGAAAGGGTGTCTGAAGGAAATTTCCAATATGTGCAATTTACTGAAAAAAAATAATGCTTTGCTCTTGCGGAACATATTTTTGAATTGAATTTGTCATGCAGGGTCAAAGTGCAGTCCACAATGCATGGTTCATTGTTAACGGTTTCAATAACCACCCTTGTAAATGTGGCTTCAAGGTTTTCGCTTCTTTCAAAAATAGAAAACTCGAAACTATTTTTCGATCCAAACGTTATTAAACGTTTCTTTGGAGCCGTTCTAAGTACTTGCATTTCAAAAAAAATTCTATCGACGCCAATTTTTGTGCACGAAAAATCTTCCCCTTTCATAGTACGAGTGGAATTTTGTCCAAGAAATTTACAACGAATTGTAAGAGTATCTTCTTCACACTCCTGTGCATCTTGGAGAATATCTTTGATAGCAAGGAAATCAGGACATTTCAACTCCGTATCGCTAGGAGTTGAAAATTTATCCCACTTATGATTTTTCAATATCTTACCACTGGCTCCAATTGCTTCGATTTCATATTGAAGAAAACCAACTTGCTCGAGTGTCAAAACGCTTAAAGTGCATGAAATAAATTCAGAATATTCCTTACTCTCTCCCCTTGGATAAAGAACTAAACTGCCTATGATTATTTTAAAATTTTCGGAACCAAATGCGGGACTCAATAATTTCACGCCATTATTATGGTTGCAAAATGAAAAATTTTCGATTTTCCAAGTAAAAGTAAATTTAGTTTTGTACATGATTTTTTTATGAAAAAAATTAAGTTTACCGCAATGCCTCGAGTATACATTTAGTGAATAGCCAATTAATTTGATATTAGATCTATTATTTTATCAACATTTATCTACAGAATAGCATGCGATTTCTTATCTTTATTCAATTCATAGCTACCTGATAGCTGAATGCGTCATTGTTGCTTACCTGGAATTAATTTTAAACTTAAAATAGTCATTATCTGTTACGAGAATAAAAGTGCATAAAAATGTTAACAGGCATATATTTTAAACTGCGATCTACGTTTCTACAATGTACTCTAAAATTGTTTAATTAATTTCTGTTTTAATTCAATTTTTTTAAAAAATCTTATCAATTAAAAATAATATTCAAATACTAATAATAGACCTTTCAAATTGTCTTTAATGATATGTTAGATTTTAAAGATTGACTTGAATAATAGATTTTAAATTTTAATCCTTTGTGACATTTTGCCGAAATTTTGCTTTTAGATTATATAAGCATTTTGAACAAATATATATCCGTTCAAAATATTTCATATATATATATTCAATCGAAGGAAAACAAAAATTAAAATTCAAATAATAAAGTCTTATTAAAAACCTACCTTTTTTTTAAACTTCATTTCAAAGCTTTACTTTATTTACCTTTTTTTTACTTTATTTTAATTTTTAAAAATCTTAAGTAAAATGTGCATTGCTTTTGCATCTCCGTGAGAATTATTCGTAGAAAATCTGTTTTCTTTTTTATAGTGCATTCTAATGTTACACTGTTAAAATTGTCATTCCAAAATTATGGTAAAACATCCAGCAACAGTCAGTCTATCCAATTAACTGCAGATTTTATGGTAAAGAACATTTTCTACCTTGATGGTTTTGAAAACGCTAACAACTAGTATGGTTAAAAAATCATAAATACAAAACTGCGGCCTTTAACCGCTTGCGACTAGCATCTTCCTGTGTTGAATAGCGTGGAAGAAATATTCTGGTGTCAACACTGTGATTCGAACCTCTGTTATTAGTCATGAAATTGATAGATTATCCCTTTCCGCTATAATATGTGCCTACAGACAAGGAACAAAAATACTTCATTAGGTAGGCCAAGTTGGTGCGATGAAATTTTGGTTGTTTAACCCTTTCCTTCTCGCTCCCGTGAAAATGACGGGATGAGGTTTCGTCCTCTATTTCTCGCTCTCGTGATATTGACGGACTGGAGTGTTCAGTAGTAACGCGACAGTAAGAATAAAACTAATGAATTTTTTTGCCCGGAAAAATTTTTTTCTTCTCATAATACACACCAGATGGCAGTATCAGGATATTTTTAAGGTAATTGTAGATAGTAAGTTTATTTTAAACTAGATGTCAGCAATAATCAAATACGTAATACAAATACAAAAGTCAAAAAAATAGACACTTTTATGACCGTTTACTTGAAAATTAGCCGATCGTTAAGGGGTTAACTGTATTAGGAGATGATATTAATAAATGGTTTTCTTCACGGTTAACGGTTTCAATGTCATCTTATTTACGGTTATTTAATTGTTTTGTTTTAATATGGTAGAATAACAATAAAATAGATAGTTTTTTAACCATTTCTTCCAAGAAATCTCTAGCAATGTATATTGAAGGGAAATTTAATCTACTCTAAAATTAATCAAATAACATTGAGTTCAATCATTAGAAGTATCTGCCCAAATGCGAGATTTTTTAACTGGTAACATTTCCTTTTTTCTGGTTAAAAATTTATTTATTATTAAAATGTATTTAATTTTCGCTCATAAAAATTTAAGCATTTCTTTTTTATTTCCTATGAGCTCCACAATCAGTCTTCCCCATGAGCAGAACTAGTACGTTCTCCAGAAGTGGTATCCACTCTTTCGGGACCGCCACAATAGGTGAGATACCGTTGGCCATGTTAATTTGGACGTCTAGTTTCTGCCACACTAGATGGCAGCACCGAGACTCTATTTGGATGCTAAAGTGCACTAGGAATTTAATTTTGCCGGAAATGCCAAGAGCCAAAAGTTTAAGCATATTTCTATTTATTTAACTGCTGTTTTTCCAATACGTTAAGAAAGTATAAGATCACTAACAAATTAGTGCAAAGATGACAAAAAAAGTGGTTTATTAATAATGATTTTTTATGTTAAAAAAAGCAGAGGTCGAAATGGAAATAAATGTTGCCTAGGTTTATACCAAAAATAACTGTTAATGATCAGGTTGCATATAGTTTCATTCAGGCTCAATAATGAATTAGTCATTTAATAAGAATAATATTTCTTCGAGTATCGATACTTCTAGTATTCGATATTTCTAGTATCGAGTCTATGATCCATATAATTTAAAGAAAAATATTCCATGGCAATTTTTTTTAACGCAATGTATCCCAATTTCTCTTCTACAAAGCATCTTCCTATCGAGATTTGCAGTCTTTTAAAATCTAAAACAGTCATGAAACTTCAAAAATAAATGTTTTTCCTGCAATGGTCAAAACGACCCCTTTTGGCCATTTTAAGTACTTCTATCATTGTTTATTTTTATATTTTTCCCCTCTAAGTGAACCAATTTTTAATAACTCACTGCGGCTCACGGTCTAAAGTATGCATCCTATAAGTATTGTTGATATTAACATCATAATATAGATTTGAAAAACGTTTCATTTAAATAAACTTCACGGAGTTAAATGCCATTAAACTGTCCCCGGGCCGCCAGTTGAAAACCCCTGCTCTATAAGATCAAATTTCTTATTCATGATAAACCCGTACTGTGGCCTTCTCTCTTCTAGGACGGATTGATAGAGGACTCGCCTCCCAATGAGATTACTCGGGTTCGAATACAAACAATAGCTGGTCGATAACCACAGTGCTGACGTTAAATGTATCCTCAGTGGTAGGCGGATGAGTTAGAGTACCCCGAGCTAGCCATTGCAGAATTTTGGAGGCTTTTCTCTTCATGTAACACAAATACTGGTTAATTCTATCAAAAAGACCTCAAACTTACAAGGCTACGAAGTTGAACATGATAGTCGTTAACTCAAACATCGAGTCAGTTGTTTAACTACGGTGGTAAAATGAAATTACAGACGATTAATTTCACTCATTAGCCCAATTTTTGCATTAATCAAAGCAACTATATTTCCCGAAGCAAAATTTTCCCAAACCATTGAAATTAAGTCCATTAAACTCATTTTGTTTTCGCATCGGACCCCTTAATAACTCAGTCTATACCAAAACTCTCCATACAATAAATTATTAGCTTTACGGTAAATATATCTCATTTGATGCAACTTACCATTTCTTTTATGGAGGAAAACAAATAAAACTATACCACCTTAAAAAATCTTTTATTAGTTTAAAACACATGCATAAATGTCCTCTAATAAAGTTAACACATATCCTGAAAGTTTTCATTCTGATTCATTTCTTGATTATTAAACATTTCAGTTTTTAGTAAAACGAAAATCATTTAGATAACGGTTCAATATCAGATATTTTTATCAGTAAGTATATCCAGACTTAAGAAACACACTTAAGTAAGTTAGGAAAAATGTAATAAGTACAAATAAAATAAAATCCCAAGTTCATATCATGCTTTTTTCCTACATGTTCTTAAGCAATTAACGTTGGAATATGTTTTTGAGTGTATATTGAATTCGGCGCTCTATCTAAATGTTCTTTTTAACTTGGCTTTTGAAAATGCACCGAAGAACAGTTTAATAGGATTTTATTAATAACACTGTTCCATTATTTCCATGAATATCGTGCCACAGCTTCAAGACATCTTTGTGTAGCATCTAAAGTATTAAAGGTGTCCTTAAAGCACAATTCAAAATTTAACTAATCCCTGCAAAGAAATTAAATTAAAATTGTAAGAGCACAAAATTTAAAAAGAGGCGCCTTAAAATCTTCTCATCTAATGATCAAAATTTCCAGCAATAAAAGTAACTAGTGGGGTGCGCCCCCAGCTCGCTAGCGCTCGCCAACCCCCGAAAATTGCTACGCAATCTTATAAGGTTTGCTTCGCAAACCAAGCTCGCTTCACTCGCTACTAACTTAGGTACATTACAAATGCACAAAATTCTAAGAATTCAAAACAATCATTCAAATCCATATAAAAACTTTTTTTTAAAAAAAAAATTACATATTTTTAGTAAATACTAAGTCATTAAAATAAATTTGAATTCAAATAAATTACATGTAATTCGTTAAACCTATTAGAAATGCGCTATAGTATAATTCGTGATGTAAATCAAAAGTCGTCAAATAAATTCGTAATATATAAATTCGTTAAAAAAAAGCACTTTCGACAAAATACTAAAAAAGAGATCTATTGACAAAGACTACTCACTTCTGCCTAGCTTAATAGTATGAGATTTCCCCAGCTGATGCTCCCTTTTTATTTCAGTTTCCGTTTTCAAAAGCGCTATATGTTGAGCCACCTCAGCTAGATTTGGCATGTGACATTTTTAGCGGCAATCATTGGTCGATTTTCTAGCATTGCCATTCGGGGAGTTGTAATGAGGCTTTTTTGTCGCCGTGTAAGAGAAGTAGTAACGTAAACAAAACAAAGCAAGCGTTGCCACCGGTGGAAAAGAAATACAGCCAAAATTTGGGAGCCACGTAAGATAATCATATATATTAGATTAGATTGAGCTCAGGTGATTGAACTTAAATATGCTAATTAATTTGTGCTGACGAAATATTAAGTTAAAAAATTTGACAAAAAAACTTTTTTCTTTCTCTATCCAATCCGCCACTATCTGAGAAATCTTGCCACAATATTTTGTTTAGGAGAATGGTCGTTAGTTCAGAATCCATACTCCGTGTTTTACTTTTTGCCTATTGAATCACATCTTTGGTATTATTTTTCTAAGACTTTTTGAATGCAATTACTACACTTGTTTATCAAAGCTTAATTCAATGCATTTCTAATACGAGGTGAAAATGATGCATTTCTTTGTAATAATTAACGCATATTTTCAGTCATTTAAATTTAACTTTTTTTACAAGTAATATAAATTTTTTTTAAAGGTCAATTCCTACTTCGGTCAAC